ACCGCGGGCCATCGAAACCACTACTCCTTAGACTGCTTCTGCCACTTGGCAAGGACGAAAAGGCAACGGAGAGTAGTGCTAGTGATTATGTAGCTATTTCCAAGGACAAAACATGCTCAAAGTTGCAGGCTATGTAGTCTACAGAGCAGCTTTGACGATGGGGTTAGGGTAGGGTTGGGGCAACCTCCTTGCGTTCAGGTTCGGCTTTGTATAGATATAGGAGTCACGCCGACAATGTTATACGATACGCTATGCTTTCGTGGTCGATTACTTGTCGATTCTACGTGTAGGATGCCTGGCTTAGAGAAGCGGCGCGGCCGGGGGTGGCGCCCCCCACTCCTGCGTCTTCCACCATTCGGGCTGCGGGAGGTGACACCCCATCCTTGTGGGTCGTTGGCAGCACACGCGAACGCGGTCCGAGTCAAAGTACAGTGGCGTCTGTCGCGTGTCATCGTAAAGACAGAGGTACTGCATGGCGCGTGGCAGCGCAGCATCTAAAAGGCGGCAGCGCTCATCGTCCCACGCCAGGTTGTGCAGACCAAGGCGCTGGAGTCGACGACAGCGGGGCAATACCGGTGCGAGCCAGTGTACAAGTGCGCGCTCGGCTACGGTTTCGTTGCGCCAGCGGACGCGCAGTCGGAGCTCCTCGAGCCGACGCAGCTGCGGCAAGACAAGCGACAGCGTCTTTGCCATCGCAGTTGACGCCTCAACAAACGTAAGGCTGACGTGCGAGATCGCATCCATGGTCGGCAAGACAGCAAGCACGTGCACGACGGCGTCGCTAGGTGCGTCGGGACGCGGCGTCGTCTCGTCCCGCAGACGCAAGTGCGTGAGCCGTGCGCCGTGGAGCGCCCGAAGCAACGGACCTGCGTCGTGCAGCTCGAACGTAGCAAGGTCCAGATGCCGCAAGCTCGATGGCAGCGGCCGGTGGAGATACGCCTGAAAAATGCCCGTCCCGTACGACAGCTCGAGCGTTCGAAGTGTCGTACAGGCGTGCAGCGCGTTCGCCATGGCCCGTGCCCGCCCCGGCACGCGAACATGGAGAAAGTTGAGGCGCAGTGTGCGCAGCGCAAGGCGCGCCACGGTAGCCACGAGCTGCGTCTCGAGAAACGTGTTGAAGAGCGGGTCGCCGGCGTTGGCAATGCACAGCGTCTCGAGCTGGGCGGGCAGCGCGGCGAAGAAGGTTCGGAGCGCGTCGGTGGTGTCGCTCTGCGCCATGTGCAGGAGGTCCACACGCCGCAGCAAGGGCGCCGAGCGCATCCAGCCTGCAACAGCGACGAGATGCGC